ACTATGAATTGATGTATGAAATCAAGTATGAAATTTCCATTTGTGGAGTAATATCAGTTCCTAAGAGATTTCAGATTTTAAGTATTTTGAATTTTGGATAGTTACACTAAAGATACCCAACCTGAATGAAGAAGAGATGGTATTCTTAAGAAACAAAGAGACAGACTTTTTTGAAGAAGATGAAGGGGCTCAGGGGTAGTGGAGAGTGAGGTTTGTAGGAAAGTGTATAATGAGATTAAAAAAATGACCAAACATTCACATTTAAAAATATATATACATATATCCCAAAAGGAATGCAATCTCTTATATATCTTAAACACAAAATAATAAAAACGAAAGCAGGATTAAAGACACTTAGATGTTAAAAAAGAGATAAAGGTATAGAATACCAATATTAATTAAATTAAAGCTGTAGTAGTTACATGAATTTCAGACAAGATTAATTTCAACATATGGAATTTCAGGCATATATAAGGGTACATTTATCAGGCATAAAGAGAGAGTCAAATGTCCAAGAAGACATACAATTATAAATACACAAATGAGGAAAAATTGATTAACTTTAAAGGAGAAAGAAGAAAATGCACAATTTAAATAGTGATCTGATATCTCTTTGTCAGTAAATGAGAGATCAAATAAGTAGAACATCCCTGTAGCTATGCATGACCTGAACACTATTAGGAAATCTTACCTGGCTGACTTCTATAGAAACCTCCCTCCAGAGTCAATAGCTTGCACATTCTCTTCAAACTGATATGAAACAGCTATGAAAATAAACTGCAATCTGAACTATAACTCAACCAAACACCTTTAAAATATGGAAATCACACAAAATATGTTCTCAATTTGCAATTTAATTAAAACTGGAAATCAATAAGATAAAGATAACTGGAAATTTTCTCAAATGTGTGCAAACTAAACATCACGATTTTAAATAATATATAAGCTAAGGATGTTTTCAAAGAAGTTAAAGATATTTTAAACTCAATGGAAATTCAAACTTTTTCAATTCTAGAAATGTAGAAAATATAAAGTGTGGAAGAAAATGCATAGCATTTAATCTTATATTTAAAAAGACAAAAGAGGGCTGAGGATTTAGCTCAGTGGCACCATGCCTGCCTGGCAAGCATAAGGTTCTCAAACTCAGGGACCAAAAAAAAAAAAAAAAAAAAAGAAGAAGACAAAAGAACTCTAAAAAATACACTAACATTTTACAATAAATTATTATGGAGAAAATAAAGTAAACCTATTAAAGTAAAGAAATAACAAATTAAAACAGAAATCAGTGAAATTGAAAGTAGGAAATAGAGAAATTGACAAAAAATAATCACTGGCTCATTAAAAAAGATGAATAAAATCCACAAAGCCTAAATAAACTAATCACAAAAAAGAGAGAAGGCAAAAATAAAGAATACTAGAAATGAAGGGGAGTAGGGATTCGTCTCTATGGACCTAGCAGGTATTAAGATGATCAAGAATGAGTACTTTGAGCAGCCCTATCCACAAATTGGATAATTTGGTATTTATGGATCTATTATTATTAGACACAAACTAAAAAAAAAAAAAACCTCACATAAGGAGAAACAGTAATCCTGTATCTATAAAATTAATTAAATTACCAGTAAACTACCATCAAAAAAGTAGCAGACCATAATATCACTTAGGATTTCTACCAAATCTCTAAGTAAGAATTAATATGGATTCTACACAGTTTCTTTCTAGAATATGCAGGGAAATAGAATACTAGGAAATAAATTTCATGATGCTATCAGTATTTTAATAAAATAATTAGAAATTGATATTAAAGAAAAAAATCAGATAAATATTACATGACTAATGAGGCAAGAATTCTCACCACATCAAATCTTTTTATGTGATAGATATATATCACACAAATATCACACAAATATCATTCAAGTTCAAAGATGTTTCTATGTTCAATAATTAATATAATCTACAACATCAGTAGGTTAACAAAGAAAAAACATTACATCATATACTTAATAGAGAAAAAATTGACAAATAAAACCATCATTTATTATTTTAAAGATCTCAAGGTCTATGAAGTATGCTGCTGGGATCTCAATTTGAATTGCAATAAATCTATATAGCAGTTTTGGAAGTATGGATATTTTCACTATATTAATCCTTCCTGCCCAGGAGCAGGGGCTGTCTGTCCATTTTCTGATATCATCTTCAATCTCTCTTTTCAGA